AGTGGCGGAGACTCCTCCTTTGGGGGAGCGTCCGCCCCTTTCGGCGGCGGGAACATGAAGACTCGCAAGGGCATGTTCCGAACTGTCGGACAACTCTACAAGGAGCAGCTGGGCAAGCTGATGGGGACGCTGCGCAACACAAACCCCAACTTCGTGCGCTGCATCATCCCCAATCACGAGAAGAAGGTAACGGTGGATGGGAGGTGCAGGGGGAGTGGCGAGTGAGTGAGCAAGCAATGGGGAGGAGTTGGTGGCGCATCTGAAGCCGATCCTGGGCCTCCCCTAGGTCAACTCGGCCTAAAAATTAGTTGGCTGGTGTAGTGGTGTGAGGTGAGGCTATTATCGTTGTTAACATTAACCACTGATGAGTGGGTGAGGTTAGCGGTAATGCAGGGTAGCGGTTAACGCTGCGCTAACGAACCCGGCGACCCGAGTTCGATTCCCCGCTCGTGGCCAACACCGCTCGTGGTGATTGTCTGGGGTGGGTTTTGGGCCTCCATTAAGTCGACTAGGCCTCAAATGAGTTGGCTGGTGTAGTTGTGTGTCGTAGTAAACATTGCCACTGGGGAGACTAAGGCGGCCGGGCGTGGTGGAGGTGCTGGCCACTCGCTCGCTTCCTCGTGTGCCACAGTGCCGGCCTTCATAGGGTGCTGCTGCTGCTCACTACACGGGGGATCTTTGTCATGGTGGTGATGATGATGTCTAGAGTTGGTGATGGTGATGCTATGATGGCTGTGACGATGTTGCTGATGTATATATTGATGATGATGATGATGCTGTTATAGTGGTGGTTTTGGTCGTTGATGTGGTGATGTTTGTAGATATGGCTGTTAATGTTAGTGGTAGTTATTGATTTGGTTGTTTTTTGTTATTTTGGCTGTTGTTGTTGATGTGGTGGTGGTTGTTGTGGTTGTCGTCGTGCGCCAGGCGGGCAAGCTAGAGCCGCACCTGCTAATGGAGCAGCTCCGCTGCAACGGAGTCCTCGAGGGGATCCGGATCTGTCGTCAGGGCTTCCCCAACCGCGTCATCTTCCAGGAGTTCCGCCAGAGGTAACCGGGAAGGGGGACTGTGGGGCGGGGAGGTTGAGCCCTAGGCTAGGCCTTGCCTGGCCTAGGTGAGGAGGCTTTGCCTAGGTGAGGAGGCCTGGCGCAAGGTGACGCCTTGCTGAAACCTGGGCCTGGCTTGGGCCTGTTCAAGGCCTGGGTAAGCTCAGCGTGTCTATGCTGTAATTAAGCACCGTGGAGGCAGTATCGAGGGTTGTTAGGTTATGCGCAGGCGGTGGTGGTGGTGTTGACGGTGATGGTGGTGGTATCCCCTAGATACGAGATCTTGACTCCAAACGCCATTCCCAAGGGCTTCATGGACGGGAAACAAGCGTGTGAGAGAATGGTGAGTCACTCGCTCACCTTCTCGCTCACCCTCTCGCTCAATTACTCACCCATTCACACACCCAACCCACTCAATCTCCCGCGAACAAAGACCAATGTAAAGATCCCCCCCATGCAACCTTTAACAGTGCTGTTAGAGAAAAATAAGAATAGGTTTCACCTTTTCTGGCAATATATAGACACCTTTTGCAAGGAATAAAGTCTGCATTAACCGCACACCATGCTTGTGGTGAACAAAAACCTATTCTTATTTTTCATACTATGATACTGGCAAAGTCCCATGATAGCAGCACCTACGAAGGCCGGCATTGGCACACGAGGAGGTGGGTGGCCTGCACTACGCTCGGCCTCCTTTGTCTCCCCAGTGGCGATGTTTACTACACACTGATACACCATGTACTCATCTGAGGCTGACTTTACGTAGGGGAGGCCCAGGATGGGTTCAGACGATCGTCAATGCTGTTGGCCGTGAGCGGTAAGGTTCGTAGTGCAGCGTGGCGGTTATCGCTACTACACTACTGCTAACTCGCCCACTCACCCACTCGGCGACTCTCCCATGCATTTACTCACTCGCACACCCTCACACGCTTGCCAGCACATCCCCACACCCGCTCAACCACCCAAGTGCTCTTCCCCCCCCCCCCCCACCCCGTGTTTCCCTCCCCTATGCCTCCTCTCCCTGCACAGGTGAAGAGCATGGAGCTGGACTCGAACCTATTCCGTGTAGGGCAGAGCAAAATCTTCCTGCGCGCCGGCGTCCTGGCACAGCTAGAGGAGGAGCGCGACATCAAGATCAGTGACACGATCCTCGCCTTCCAGTCAACCTGCCGCGGATTCCTCGCCCGGCGGTGAGGGGTCGCTTACCCGCTCGCTCACCAAGTCACTCATTTCCCCGCCCGCACGCTCACCCACCCACCCACCCGCTCACTCACGCACATGCTCATTCACCCGCTCACTCGCCCATCAACCGTCCATGTTTATAATCGACATTGCTCGTTTAAGAGTAATTTGGCTGCTGCTATACATTTTTCCACGTGGCGATGATGATGATAAGCAGCAGGCACTTATATTCTTGGTTCTTTCAGTAAAGTCACGTAGAAGGGAAACAATAAAATAATAAAAATATAAAACAATAAAATTCTCACGACGTTTCGACTGCAACACAAGCAATCATCAGGTGTGAAAACCACAGCAAGGAAATTAGTTGAGCTTCCATTTCTGGTGGGCCTCGTCGCTTCTGAAAAAGAGCTACACCGCTCGGTGTGGGAACTTACACCTGGTAAACTAAAATAGTGTTTAGTTTTAGTTTGGAGGAGGTGAGGAGTGGAAGTGGTGAGAAGTGAGAGGGCGGAGGTTAGGTGATGGTGGTGATGACGATGGAGGTGACGATGTTAGGTGATGGTGATGTGGAAAGAAGTGGTGGAGGGTGATGATGAGACAGGTGATGGAGGTGATGGGGAGAGCAATGATGTAGGTGGTGATGATAATGATGTTAGAGGTGATGAGTGAGTGGGTGAGGTGAGCGTGATCAGAAGGGTCGCTGCGGAAAAAAAACTTACACCTGGTGAAATAAACACAGCTGATAGTTGTATAAGTTTATGAGCGTAGCTTTAATTGTATAATATTATAACCCCACATCCACCACCATCACCCCCCCACCCCCCGCCTTAATCCCGCAGGGCATTTGCCAAGAGGCAGCAGCAACTGGCGGCCGTGAGAGTCTTGCAGAGGAATTGCTCCTCCCACCTGAAGCTCCGCAACTGGAACTGGTGGAAGCTCTTCACCAAGGTGAGAGGGAATTTGGATGGGGGTAGGGATGGGTGGGAGGGAGGTGAGGGAAATTTGTGCTGCACATGGTAGCCTCACACACCCCCCCCCCCCCCCACTCCAGGTGAAGCCGCTGCTGCAGGTGAGCCGCCAGGAGGAGGAGATGCTTGCCAAGGATGATGAGATTTCCAAGATGGCCGACCGCCAGACCAAGATGGCCTCCGAGATGGTCGAACTGGAAAAGAAGCAGCAGCAGGTGAGGGATGTTTCACTCTAAATCTCATCTCGTGTGTCTCCTCCTCCATCGGTAGGATCGTCAACATCATCACCACCAGTAAGATCGTCATTATCACCATCAGAAGAATCGTCAATCATCACCACCATCAGTACCGTCGTCAACATCACCACCATCATCAGTAGCAGTAGGATCATCATCATCACCACCACCGTCAGCAGAATCGTCAGCATCACCAGACTCGTCATGCAGCAGCGCTAACCGCTCCACTCACCCCTCGCCGCCACCCCTCCTCCCCCTCACCGCCCCCCTCACCTCCGCCACAGCTGTTTGAGGAGAAGCTGCAGCTGGCCGAGCGGCTGCAGGCGGAGTCTGAGCTGTGCGCGGAGGCGGAGGACGCGAGGGCGCGCCTGATGGCCAAGAAGCAGGAGCTGGAGATGCTCGTGCGCGACATGGAGGGCCGCTGGAACGAGGAGGAGGAGCGGGCAGCCTCCCTCGCCGAAGAGAAGAAGAAGCTGCAGCAGAACCTCCTGGTGGGTCGCAGGGTGTCAGGTTGAGGGCCCCCCCCCCCCCGGTATCCGCAATCGTCAAGGTTTCTATTCCCCCTGGTATCCGCTAATCATCGGGGGTGTCTGTTCCCCCATATCTGCAATCGTCAGGGGGTGTCCCTTCCCCCCCGTATCCGCTAATCATCGGGGGTGTCTTCCCCTCCGTATCCGCAATTGTCAGGGTGGCTGTTCCCCCATATCCGCAATCATCTGGATCGGGCACAACAAAGATCCCCCATATAGCCTTAACAGACTGTAGGGGCAAGTGCTGTTAGCGAGCACCTATGAAGGCCGGAACGGTACACGAGGGGGTGGGTGGCCAGCACCACGCCCGACCGCCTTTGTCTCCCTAGTGGCAATGTTTACACACCGCACCAGGTACTCATTTGAGGCTGAGTCGACCTAGGGGAGGCCTGGGACCGGTTCAGATAATCGTCACTGGTGTTGGCCGTGAGCGGGAATCGAACCCGGGTCGCCAGGTTCATAGCGCAGCGCGCTAACCGCTACACTATCGGGTGTCTGTTCCCCTCCGTATCCGCAATTGTCAGGGTGGCTGTTCCCCCATATCCGCAATCATCTGGATCAGGCACACGCACACACTGACACAACAACAACAAGAACCGCCATTCGCCACTAGGTGGCGGTGACGTCACCACGGTGCTTGTGCCAGGCTATGTGCACGTTGAGGCCTCGTGAAGTGTCGAACGCCCACCGGCAGGAGGTCAAGGGGCAGACCCAGCAGGTGCCACGGGTTGACAAAGATGACTGCCCCATACTGTGCCAACCTGCTGTGCTTTAGCCACCCGGCGCTCCGCTCGTTGTTGTGAGCGTCGCTCCTCTGCCCTCCGTTGTTGTTGGAGGGCGACTGCCTCCAACTGCCCAGTAGCGTCCTTCACGAGCCTCCTCCACAGAGGCCGATCTTGACACCACTGGTACCAGTCATCGGCAAGTCCACTCAGCTCCACGTCCTCCTTGTACCACATCAGTCCATCTCATCTCTAACCCGTGCCGCACCCATTTAGTCCCCTCGATCTGGCCGAACAGAAGCTGTTTAGGCATGCGGTGGCTGGGCATGCGGGCTACGTGACCCAGCCAACGCAGCCTTGCCTGCCGGAGGAGCTCGCACACGTGCACTGACCTACACACACGCGTGTGCACTGACCTGCACACACACATACACACGTGTGCACTGACCTGCACACACACATACACACGTGTGCACTGACCTGCACACACACATACACACGTGTGCACTGACCTGCACACACACATACACACGTGTGCACTGACCTGCACACACACACACCTTGCTCGTTGGCTAGCAGGTATCCGGGAAAAACAACGCCACCTATAATTATAGATTATAATGTCGGTCGCGCAAGCCCTTGACTACTACCACCACTGACTACTAATACTACTACCACTATGACTGTCACCTACGACTGATGCTACTGCTACTACAGCTGATGCTACTGTAAAATGTCTGCCATTGCAACTGCTGCTACTGATACAACTTATGCTGCTACTGCTGCTTCTACAACTTCTGCTCCTGCGGCTACTGATGTTGCTGCTTCTGCTACTACTGCTACTGATACAACTTCTGCTGCGACTCAGGATCTGGAGGACCAGCTGGAGGAGGAGGAGACGATGAGGCAGAAGCTGCACCTGGACAAGGTGACTCTAGAGTCTCGCGTAAAGAAGATGGAGGAAGACATCCTCATCATGGATGACCAGAACTCGCGACTCACTAAGGTGCGGGGGTTAGCGGGGGTTACGTGGGTGGGGGGGGGGGGGGGAGACGCGGGGGGAGGGGGGTGAGACGCGGGGGAGGGGGGGAGACGCGGGAGGAGAGGGGTATGCACTGGGGAATGGTGAGGAGAGGGAGACACGGGGGGGGAATGTGAGAGATTGATGGAGATGGTGGAAACGTGCTGACGATGTTGACGACGACGACGACGGTGGTGGTGGTGGTGGTGCAGGAGAAGAAGCTGCTGGATGAGCGAGTGAGCGACTTGACCGAGCGCCTCGCCAAGGAGGAGGAGGCCAACAAGGGGCTGGGCAAGGTGAAGGCCAAGTTGGAGAGCCAGCTGGGAGACATGGAGGGTGAGACGCTCACACATCACCACTCTCTGTCGCACTCTCTTACTCCCTCGCGGTCTCTCTCTCCGTGTCTCTCTCCAGAGCATCTCAAGCGAGAGGAGAGCTCGACACAGGAGGTTAAGAAGCTGCGACACCGTCTAGACGGAGTCTGCCCAACTCTGCAACCTGGTGTCTCACTCTCTCCGTGTCTCTGTCTCTCTCCAGAGCGTCTCAAGCGAGAGGAGAGCTCGCGACAGGAGGCTGAGAAGCTGCGACGCCGTCTGGACGGGGAGTCTGCCCAGCTCGGTGACCTGGTGACAGAGCTGCAGCGACGTGTCTCCGAGCTCGAAGCTCAGCTCCAGCGCAAGGATGGGGAGCTGCAAGCAGCCCTGGCCAAGTATGGGAAGGGAGATGGGAGTGAGGTTTACAACATCTCGCTACGTCTGTCTTTCGCCGTGTCTCTCCCTGTATCCACACCATCGCTTTCTCTCTCCTCATCGCTCTCCCAATTCCACCAGGCTGGAGCAGGAGCAGGCAGAGAAGCAGGCAGCCCAGAAGCAGCTCCGGGAGTCTTTGTCGCGCCTGGCGGAGGCCGCCGAGGACGCCGAGGCAGAGCGGGCGGCCCGCGCCAAGGCCGAGAAGCAGCGGAGGGAGCTGGCGGACGAGCTCGAGACCCTGAAGAGCGAGCTGGAAGACACCCTGGACACTACGGCCACGCAGCAGGAGCTACGGTGAGAAACACGGGGAGATTCTGGGGGAGGCTGGGGCACACCCTGGACGCTACGGCAATGCAGCAGGAGCTAGAGAAAGACAAGGAGAGACACAGACGGGGAGGGGGCAACGAGATGGAGAGAGGGACGTGATGATCTCGCCACCCTGTCCGTTCCGCCATTGTTAAGATTGTTGTTCCCATCTGTTCCATTTCATTCCATCAATGTTCCATTCTGTCATTGTTCCGTTTTGTGATTGTTCCGTCCCGTGGCGGGCGCAGCACGAAACGGGAGCTGGAGGTGGTGGATCTGAAGCGAGCGCTGGAGGAGGAGGCGCTGGCGCATGCCGCGGCCCTGCAGGAGCTGAGGCAGCGCAGCGCCGGAGCCCTGCAGGAGGTCACCGAGCAGCTGGAGACGACCAAGAAGGTGCAGCAGTGGGGGATTGTGCAGCAGTGGTGGGGGGTGATGCAGTGTGTGGAGCGGTTAGTGTAGTGGTTAGCGGGCTGCGCTATGAACCCGACGACACGGGTTCGATTCTCGCTTACGGCCAACACCGGTGACGATTATCTGAACCGGTCCTGGCCCTCCTCTAGGTCGACTCGGCCTCAAATGAGTACCTGGTGCGGTGTGTAAACATCGCCACTCGGGAGACAAAGGCGGTCGGGCGTGGTGCTGGCCACCCACCCCCTCGTGTACCGTGCCCGGCCTTCATAGGTGCTCGCTAACAGCACTTGCCCCTACAGTCTGTTAAGGCTCTACGGGGGATCTTTGGAGTGGTGGGTACAGCAGTGCCAGATGCAGCAGTAGATGCAACAGCAGTGGGGGACTGTGCAGCAGTAGGAAGTGGTAGTGTGTCCAGCAGTGGCAGATGCAGCAGTGGGGGGTGATACAGTGTGTGCAGCAGTGACAGCAGTTGTGGTGGCACCACCAAGCCGGTACAGCAGTGCATGCAGTGGTGGTAGCAGTGGATAGAGCGTCGGCACGAGAAGTGTTGGAAGTGTCAGTCCTTTTCTACCTTCTCTCTCTCACTGTCCCTCTCCTCACTCTGTGTCTACCCCAGGCAAAGCTGAGTCTGGAGAAGGCCAAGGCTGGGCTGGAGGCCGAGCGGAATCAGCTGAGCCAGGAGGTGGCCGCCGTCTCCGCCACCCGCTCAGAGATCGACGCTCGCCGCAAGAAGTCTGAGGCGGCCGCGGCCGAAGCGGCCCAGCGTAGCGTCGAACTCGAGCGAGCGCGCTCCGAGCTGGTGGCCACAAACACCCGCCTACAGGTGAGTCTGCTGCTCTGCTTCCTGCTGCTCCTGCACACTCGGGGCTAGCGGCTTTGAAGATCCACCCCCAGGTGATACCGCCTCTGCTGCTTCTGCTGTGTTTATGCAGCTCCTGCTCTGCTCCTCCTCTCTCTGCCTTTGCTCCTGCTCCTCTCGCGCTGTTTTCTGCTGCTCCGGCTTCTGCTGGAGCGGGGACACTGGGAACTAGCGGCCTCAAACCTCCACCTCCAGATGATATCGCTGCTCCTGTTGCTTCTGCTCACTGCTGTTCGCTTCTCCTGCTTTTTCTCAGCTTTTGCCCCTGCTGCTACTGCTGCTCATGTTGCTCCTGCTCACTTCTGCTGCTAGCTTCAGCCGCCTCTGCTCCGCTTCTGCCGCTGCACTTTGGATTAGCCGTGCAGCTTTTAATTGTTGTGTTGCCGGCTTCAGCTCGACCTATTACCCACCGCTGTACTTTGCACTCTCTTACTGGACATCTGAGAAAAGAGTTTTGCAGCTTATCAGATTCTTACAGTCTAAGAACGGATTCTGGGTGGGGGTGGGGTTGTGGGTGGGGGTGTAGTTGTTAGCGCTAAGCTGCACTACGGACCCGGCGACCCAAGTTCGATTCCCGCTCATGGCAAACACCAGTGACAATTATGGTCCTGGGCCTCCCCTAGGTCAACTTGCCCCCAAATGAGTACCTGGTGCAGTGATGTGTAGTCGACATTGCCACTAGGGAGACAAACGCGGCTCCGCGTGGTACTAGCCACCCACCCCATTGTGTGCCATTCCCGCCTTCATAGGTGCTCCCTAACAGCACTTGCCCAAAAGTCTGTTACAGGCTATCTTTGTCTTTGTGGGTGTCTGTGTGGGTATAGGGGGAACAGGTGGTGGCATCGACCAGTTGACCCATGGCACCTGGGTCTGTCCTGTAACCTCCTGCCAGCAGGCCTGGCAAAGGCGCCATGATGACGTCACAGCTACTTTGTGCGCGAATGGCGGTTGTTGTTGTTGTGGGTGGGTGAATGGTGGCTGTTGTTGGTGATTTTGTTGTGATGGTAATGATGATGTTATTGTTCTTGATTCAGGCCGAGCTGGAGTCCGTCTCAGCTCAGCTCGCCCAGGCCGAGAGCAAAATCAGCAACACAAACAAACAGAGTTCCAGCCTGGAGACGCAGCTCCATGATGCACAGGTTCACTCAGCTACCCACTCAGCTACTCACCTCATCACTCAGCTGTTCAATCAGAAACTCACCTACTGGCTCACCTACTCACCTCATCACTCAGCTGCTCAATCACTCAGATACTCACCCAGATACTCGCTTAGCTATTCCCATGCTCAGCTACCTACTCTCTCAGCCACTCGCTCCCTCAGCCACTCCCTCCTTAAGCCACTCGCTCACTCAGCTACCCACTCAGCTGTTCGCTCAACTGTTCACTCAGCTACTCACCTATTCGCTCACCTACTCACTCAGCTACTCACTCAGCTACTCACTCACTCAGCTACACACCTGCTCGCTCGCTCGGCTACTCCCTCACCTACTCACTCGGCTACTCGCTCAATGTTATGGTCGTAGTGGTGGTGATCACGTGCCCCGTGCATTCTTGTTGATGTTATTATTGTTTACGTTGTTGTTGTTTTTGACGCTGCTGTGCAGGAGCTGCTGGCGGAGGAGTCTCGTGTGAAGGTGTCGCTGGGCGTGAGGCTGAAGGCGCTGGAGGAGGAACGAGCACTGGCGACGGAGCGCCAGGAGGAGGCCGAAGCCGCCAAGGCTGCCTCCGACAAGCAGCTGGCAGCACTGCAGGCACAGGTGAGCGGTGCTTGGCAGTGTAATCGCTCACCGGCTCGCTCACAGGCTCCTTGAGCCTAATCGCTCATGAGTTCAGCTTCTCGCTGAATCACTCACTGGCTCCTCTAGCTGAATCGCTCACCAGCTCACTCATCGGCTTGTTAGCTACTGGGCTGAATCAGTCGTTCGGCAGCTCGCTCAGCTCACCATCTCATCAGCTACTGGGCTGAATCGCTCACAAGCTCGCTCACTGGCCCTCTAGCTGAATCGCTTACCAGCTCACTTATCGGCTCGTTAGCTACTGGGCCGAATCAATCGTTTGGCAGCTCACTCAGCTCACCATCTCATCAGCTACTGGGCCGAATCGCTCACCAGCTGCCCGCTCGACAGCTCTCACAGAATCACTCACTGGCCCTCTAGCTGAATTGCTCACCAACTGCCCGCTCACCAGCTCTCGCTGAATCGCTCACTGGCTCCTCGAGCTGAATCGCTCACCAGCTGCCCGCTCGCCAGCTCTCGCTGAATCGCTCACCGGATCTCTCTCCATCTCCACCCCTCTCTGTGTGCCTGTGCGTGCATATCTCACTGTGCGTGCCCTTGTGCAGCTCTCCGATCTCCGTCGCTCCTCCGAGGAGCTGGCCTCCTCATTGGAGGCCTCCGAGTCGACCCGCCGCCGCCTCTCCAAGGAGCTAGAGGAGGGGGTGGCGCGAAATGACGCGGCGACGGCGGCGCTGGACAAGTGCGAGCGCACGCGCGCCCGGCTCCAGCACGAGCTGGAGGACCTCGGCGTGGCTCACGAGACACTCAGGCAGAGCGCAGCCGCTCTCGACAAGCGGCACAAGAAGTTCGACCAGGTGGGTGGTTGGGTGTTTGGTTGGTTAGTGGTTGGGTGTTTGGTTGGTTAGTGGGGGGTTAGTGGGGGGTTGGTTAGTGGGGGGTTAGTGGGGGGTTGACTTTGCCTCAAATGAGCACCTGGTGCAGAATGTCGTAAACATTCCCTCCCCCCCCCCCCCGTCTCTCTCCTCTCCTCCCCCACGTCACTTCCCCCCCCCCCCCCCCCCCACCAATCTTCCTCTTCCCGCCTCCCTCCCGCGCCCAGCTCCTAGCGGAGGAGAAGGCTTCGTGCGTCCGCGTCGCCGAGGAGCGCGACCGGGCGGAGGCATTGGCTCGCGAGCGGGAGACTCGCGCCCTCGCGCTCGCCCGGGCCCTCGAGGAGGCGACGGAGGGCCGCGCGGAGCTCGACAAGAGCCTGAAGCAGGCCCGGGCCGAGATGGAGCACCTCGTCAGCTCCAAGGACGACGTGGGCAAGAACGTACGTTCACGCCACCCCCAACCCGCATGGACGGGCGTAGCTCGTCCGGTTTATGTCGTACGAGGTTGAGCGACGGCTTGTTCTGACCGGGAGGATGAGGGAGGGGGGGGTGTCGAAATTTGAGCGGCGAGCGATCTAAGGCCTGCGAGCTCGCTCGAAAGGACCGTGACGGATTTGAATGGGACCAACACTGTCACAGCTCCTACTCGCGTCATTTTCACCGTACGAGATCGAGCGATGGCTCGTTCTGACCGGGGCGATAGCGGGGTGTCTGGTGTCGAATTTGAGTCGTCGCGGGCGATCAAAGACTCTGGTGCTGGGTCGTAAAAAGCATCGCCTATATTTATTTTGATTTGATTATTCAAATTGATTTGCCACGTAGGCTTTCGTGACCCAGTATCATCCATAATAAAAACCTATTATAAAATCGATGTATGCTTCTCTCTCTTCCCCCCCACCCCTTCCTCCGGCTTCTCCCCCTACTACTCCCTCCATCTCTCCCTCTCTCCTACCACCTCCTCCCTGCCCAGGTGCACGAGCTGGAGAAGTCGAAGCGGGCGCTGGAGCAGCAGCTGGAGGAGATGAAGACTCAGCTGGAGGAGCTGGAGGATGAGCTGCAGGCCACGGAGGATGCAAAGCTGCGGCTGGAGGTCAACATGGGGGCGCTGAAGACGCAGCTGGAGAGGGACACGCAGGGGCGAGAGGAGCAGGGAGAGGAGAAGCGACGGGCGCTGACGAAGCAGGTACGCAGACACGTAGGGGTGGGGAGATGGGTGGGAGATGGAGAGGGGGAGGGAGACGGGGGGGAGACTGGGAGAGTGGGGAGGGGGAGAGTGGGGGGGGGGAGACGGGGAGAGTGGGGGGAGACGGGGGGGGGGGGGGGGGGAGACGGGGAGAGTGGGGGGAGACGGGGGGGGGGGGGGGTGAACAGTCGATGGAGTATTTCAATGGTTGAGCGTGGAACGATTGGTTGTGGTTGCGAGCGGTTGTTGTGGTTGAGTGGATTGAGTGGTGTTCCCAGCGGTTGTGATTGTGCTCATTAGCGGTCGATGTCGTGGTTGTTGGCCTTGTTGCTCCACCACCCCATCCCAGGTACGGGAGATGGAGGAGGAGCTGGAGGAGGAGCGTCGCCAGAGGTCGGCGGCTGTGGCTCAGCGCAAGAAGCTGGAGGGCGACGTCATGGAGCTGCAGGCGCAGGTGGAGGAGCTGAAAAAGAGCAAGGAGGAGCACGGCAAGCAGGGCAAGAAGATGCAGGTGAGACGCTCGCTCGCTCAATCAACCGCTCAGCCATCCACTCACTTGCACAACCAACCATCCATACATTGTCAGTCACTCACCCACTCAACCATTCTGCTACTCTCCTGCTCGCCCACTCAATCAGCCATACATTCAATCACCCTCACCCACTCACTCGCTCAACCATCTATACATTCATTCACTCAATCGCTCACTCAACCATCCAAACATTCGATCGGTCGCTCACTCACCCACTCAACTACTCACCCACTCACCCATTCGACCATTCAACTACTCTCCCACTCAAACATGCATTCACTCGCTCACTAAAACATCCATAGATACACTTACCATTCAGCTCCTCACTCGTACATTTAATCAATCTTACATTAAATCGCTCACTGACTAGCTCAACTACTTGCCCACTCAACTACTTGCCCACTCAACTGCGCACCCACTCAACCATCCAGCTACTATTCTACTCGCTCACTCACCGACTCAACCATCCATACATTCAATCACTATCACCCACCCACTCACTCGCTCAACCATCCATACATTCGAGCACTCACTCAATCTTCCATACATTCGTTCGGTCGCTCACTCGCCCGCTCAAATACTCGCCTACTCAACCATTCCCCTAATCTCCCGCTCGCTCACTCGCTCAATAATCCATCCATACATTTGCTCGCTCGCTCGCTCAACCTTCCACACATTCATTCAGTTACTCGCTCGCCTACTCTCCCTCTCTCTCTCTCCCCCTCGTTCATCCATACACTCAGTCACTGACTCACTCATTTGCCCACCCGTTCACTTGCTCAACACTGTCTTGACTAGCTGTTCCTGCTGATAGTGCTGATGATGATACTCGTGATGCTATTGATGATGCTGCTGCTGATGATTTTGCTGATGGTGATTATGCTGCAATTGATGATGCTGCTGCCCGCTGCTACTGATGATTCTTATGATGACGCTGCTGATGCTGATGATGCTTCTTATGATGACGCTGCTGATGTTTCTAATGTTGATGATGCATCTTGATGCCGCTGCTGTTACTGATGATGGTAATGTTGTTGTTGCTGCTGCGCAGGCTGCTCTGAAGGATGCCCAGAGGGAGGTGGAGGAGCTGCGGTCGGGGAGGGAGGAGCTCATGGGGCAGACGCGGGACCTGGACAAGAAGATCCGGAGCCTGGAGGCAGAGCTGGTGCAAGCCAGTGAGGTGAGGGGAGGGGGGTGGTTGAGGCAGAGAGGGGGGGGGGGGGTGAGGCGGGGAGGGGGGGGTGAGGCAGGTGGGGGGGGAGGACACTGAGGCGCTAAAAAACAAAATTCTATAAATTGACAAAAAATAAGAATAGTTTTGCATAGCCTTTCTGGCTAATAATAAAACAGAGTTGTTAAGATGTCCAAATGCCAAATAGATCCTAGATTTAAAGCTTTTGTGACTGCAAGGATCCATACTCTTTGGTTCTATTGGGTAAAGTCACGTAGGTAAAAAATAAAATAACAAAAATCACGACGTTTCGGCCACAACACAAGCGGCCTTCATCAGGTGAAGGGGACGAGACTGTCTGGAGGACAGCGCTGGAGTGAGAAAGCGACGCTGAGATCACGACCTTTAAGCTGTGTGAGAAGAAACAAAGCACCTTGACAAAGGAATTAGCATATAATTTAGCATTGAAATGGCTGAGTGATTAGCTTGTGACTGGTCACAGAAATGGCTATGTTAAAGTGAAAGCATACACATCCGCAAAGGCACCCCTTGACAAAGGAATTAGCATAGAATTTAGCATTGAAATAGCTGAGTGATTAGCTTGTAACTGGTCACAGAAATAGCTATGTTAAAGTCAGAGCATATACATTCACCGAGGCACCTAGTACAAATCAAACAGGAGAATTTAGCGAAACACAACCACGCTCAGACCGTGGACCTTTAAGCTGTGTGCGAGCAAACAAGATGTCCTGACAAAGAAATTAGCATAAAAATTAACATTTGATTGGCCGATTTTAGAAAAGAGGTGGTGTACGTGCCGGTGGACTTGCCGTTTGGCGCGTGGGGGGGGGGAGTTTAGCTATTGATGGTGTGAAAAGGAAATTTATAAGAACTGCCAAATAGAAGCCCAGTATTGCAACTCCTGCTTCTATTAGCCAGTAAAAGGGTATGAACACATTTTCTTGTTATGTTTCATCATTTTGGATAACACGGGGAGATGCTGTAAATGACTCTTTATTGTTACCAGGAAGGATAAGGCCTCCCTACTTGATCTCTGCAAACTATTTTTCTGAAGCCAAACCTGGCCATGCCAAACGATAGCTCGGCAACGTGGCCTGGCGCACAAGGCAGCGGCAAGTGGAGCTATATAAAAACGGAGTTTCACTTGTCGCTTATCACGAGGAGCAATTTCTAGCAGCAGCTAAATACTCTTTTAAATGCGTAGTGAAAATATTGATTCTTCTACAATGTGGAGGGTGGGTGTGGGGGAAACTAGAGAGCCCGGAATGAAAAATCTACGCAGTGACCACCACGAGGGGAAGAGAGGGACGTAAACCCCATATACACTGGCTCGGGATAGAACCCACGACCTCCTGTATAGCAGGCGAAGTAGTGAACATCTCACTACCGTGGTTCCAGGGTGGAGAGAGAGACACGGGGAGAGGGGGAGAGAGAGACACACACACGGGGAGAGACACGGGGAGAGAGAGAGACACACGGGGCGAGACAAGGGGAGAGACTTGCATGGCTCTCTGCTTCAGGCGCTCTCCACGGCAGAGCGAGTGAAGCGTCTGGTGGAGACTGAGAGGGACGAGCTCACGGAGGAGATAACGGCAGTCAACTCTGCCAAGTAACCACAACAAGCACAACAACATCCACCACAACCACTACAGGCACTACCACAACATCCACCAGAATTACCACCAAACCACTACAACCACCAACACTGCAGCAACCACAACCACCACGAACAACCACTCTACTGACGCCAGAATCAGTCCACCGGGAGCTCCTGTATTCTCAAGGTCCAGGCAGATATCCGGTCTAGCTTCTCGATAGGGGAACGGCAGCCTCTCCTTGACACAGCAGAAGCCATCCACCAGAACTTCTGTATTCCAGAGGTCCAGGTGGTATTGGTCCAGCTCCAACACTCGGGTTAACTGCCCCTTCACAGAATAACAACCTATGGTGGTGACCACCAGGCTAATTACACTAGCCACTATGCTAGCCACTACGCTATCCACTACGCTAGCCACTACGGACCGGACCACAGCTTGGGTCCAGGTCCACGTGTTAGACTCTGTAGGCCGTAGAACGCAGATTCCTTCAGGATGAAAAACAGCAGCCGGTCCCTCCTAGGGGACCCGGCTTACATCCTCTGTAGCGTGGTTGGCTCTGCCCTTTGCCACGACCACCTTCTAGAATCCTCGAGCAGGATCTCGACCCTGACACGTGGCCACCCCTAGCCCCCACTTGGGGGGCCCTCTGTAGACTTAACCGGTCACGTGTCCTCTGGGGTCAACCAGAGTGCCCACGGCCTTTAGTAACCCAATTTCCATGACCGGCACTCCCGCACCCCATCCTGTTGGGGTCGGCACTGCACGCAGAGCGTGGTGCCATCCAGCGCTGTCAGTCGGTGCTCAACGAGCCCCTCTAGGGCCGGTACTGCACCTACATCCAAGTGGTGCCCACGATGTCGCTACATCGCACGCCGTGCCTCTCTAGGGCCAGCATTACACGGTGACATCCCGTGATGTCACTACGCATACACCAGAACCTCCTGTGCAAGAGAGGTGTCCAGATGGTACCGTTCCAACTCCCGACAGGAACGGCAGCCTCTCCTTGACAACCTCCGCCGTTGAGTGTGCAGCGTCCTGACGTGACCCTCTGCGCGCCGCCACCCCCAGGGCTCAGCTCCTGGACGAGAAGCGGCGCGTGGAGATGCGCATCACCCAGGTGGAGGAGGAGCTGGAGGAAGAGCAGAGCTCCATCGAGACACTCAGCGACAAGCTGCGCAAGGCCACGGCACAGGTGACTGTGGGTGGTGATGGTGATGATGGTGGTGGTGAAGATGATGCTGGGGATGATGATAACGCTGCTACTGATGACGACACTGTTGCTGCAGCTGCTGATGATGACGCTGATAATTATGCCGCTGATGGTGCTGATGATGATGACGACGCTGAAGACGACGACGCTGATGCTGTTGAGGACAACACTGATGATGATGATGCCGCTGCTGATGATGACGATGACATCACTGCTGCTGCTGCAGGTGGAGCAGCTGACGCTGGAGGTGCAGGGGGAACGCAGCGCCAGCCAACGCGCCGAGACCGCCCGCTCGGCCCTCGAGCGGCAGCTCAAGGACGCTACGGCTCGCCTGGCGGAGGCCGAGGCTTCGGCCCGTACCAAGGCCAAGGCGTCGATAAGCCAGCTGGAGGCGAAGCTCTCGCTGCTCGAGGAGCAGCTGGAGGCCGAAACCAGGTGGGGGGTAATGGAGTGGTGGGGGGAGGGGGTGCTGGTTTGGGATGTGTGCAGGTGTGCTCTGACGTTAGACTTGTGGGGGCAATCGTGTGAGTCGATTGTCTAGTAGTTGTTGGTTGGGTTGTTGTGGTGGTGGTGGTGGTTGTTGTGGTTATTTGGGTGGTTGTGTTTGGTTGGTTATTGGTGGCTAGGGGTTGTTGCTGGTTCTTGATGGTGGTGGGGGGTGATGGTGTGAGAGTAAATTGTCTAGTAGTTGTTGATTGAGTTGTGGTGGTTGGTGGTTGTGTTTGGTTGGTGGTTGTGGTTTGTTGTTGGTTGTTGATGGCGCGGTGCTGGTTGTAGGGAGAAGGGGTCGTCTGCTAAGCAGCTCCGCCGCGCTGATAAGAAGCTGAAGGAGATGGCACTGCAGCTGGAGGAGGAGCGGAGACAGGGGGAGACTCACAAAGACTCGGTGAGCTCTCGCTCACCCTTGCTTGCTCACTCAACCTCGCACTCGGGCCCAGGTTCCGATAATTACTATCACGCGGCGTTGGTAGCCGTGAGGCAGGAAATCCAACTCTGTTCCACTCCACCCAAATAAACCCCCCACCTCTACCCCTCTCTCCCCCCTCACCCCCCCCCCCCCCCCCCAGGCTGAGAAGACCTCAGCCAGGCTGAAGGCGCTGAAGCGTCAGCTGGAGGAGGCTGAGGAGGAGGGCAACCGCGGTGCCGCCACTCGCAGGAAGCTGCAGCGGGAGCTGGAGGAGATGACGGAGCTGGCGGAGGCCACGCGCAGGGAGGCCGACGGATACAAGAGCAAGTTGCGGTGAGGGGAGACCCGGGGGGGCGACACGGGGGGGCGACACGGGGGGGCGACACGGGGGGGCGACACGGGGGGGCGACACGGGGGGGCGACACGGGGGGGCGACACGGGGGGGCGACACGGGGGGGCGACACGGGGGGTGGGCAGCCACGGGGGAACATGGAGGGGCGGGTTGGGGGAGACGCGGGGATCGTGGGGGAGAGACGTGGTGGTGGTGGTGGTGATGAGCTGTCACTGTCTCCGTCTTTCAGGGCGATGCCGGTCTCCCAAGAATGAGGTACAGCACACACACACACGCATGTGCATGCGTGTGTGTGTGTGTCTGTGTTAGCCTACAATGCATGCATGCATTGCATGGTAGTGTCCATGTGTGTTGGTCTACACGTGTGTCCGTGTCATGCAATGCATGGCAGTGTCTGTGCTCGTGCATTTCATGTCGGTGTATGTTAGCCTACACACGTGTCTGTGTGTTATACAATGCATGGCAGTGTCCATGTATGTTGGGCTACATGCATGTCCGTGGATTATACAATGCATGGCAGTGTGCGTGTATGTTGGCCTACACGCGTGTCCGTGTGTTATGCAATGCATGGCAGTGTCCATGTATGTTGGGCTACATGCATGTCCGTGTATTATGCAATGCATGGCAGTGTGCGTGTATGTTGGCCTACACGCGTGTCCGTGTGTTATGCAATGCATGGCAGTGTCCGTGTGTGTGTAAGTCTACACGTGTGTTCATGCACGTGTTTGTCTAACATGCGTATACACTAACACAAGAAGTGCACTGCTATACGTGCATGACGGTGAACATACGTGCCAGGTGAGAGGGGGTGGCGTGGGCTGTGAATTGTCCTGATGCACGCACCTCTGTCTCTCCATGCCTCCTCCTCCTCCCCCCTCCGTGTCTCCCCCCTCATTGTCTCCCTCCACAGCATCGCCACCACCACCTCTTCTTCTCGCCGCGGGGCCCGAGGAGCGGCTGCAGGTGAAGACCTCTCCGACGACGAGAAGTGATCGACCTCGTGACCCTTTGATCCCTTCCCCCTCCCCTCTGAGTCATGTGACTCCTGGACCAAAAAAATAGAATGAGCTTCGCAAACCCCACCCCCCTCTTCAGCCTCACCTCCCTGCTGTGACCCTCCCCCACCCTGGGTGCTGAACTTTCCCTCTGGCCCTTGAGGGTTTAATCTCCGTGCCTTGACCTTCACCAACACCCCACCTCTCTGATTATCGTTGACCGCTATTGGTCTTGAAATGTTTGAACCCTCCCACAGAAGTGATGGAGGTGGTCGTGGTTGTGGTGTTGCAGATTGTAAACGGATTATCAATGAGTGATGATCGTGAAGAAGATATTGATAATGACGTCACTGGTTTATGATGGTGGTGGTGCTGGTGATGTCACCTGGATTTGAACTGTGAAATATGACCTTGTGGTGATGGTGGGTATATCCATTTATGCTTCCTTGATGGTGGTGGTGTCGCCTACGTGCATTCTTGTGGCTTATATTTTTTAAAGATTCTGCATTCGCTATGAAAACAAAAGATTAAAAAAAATAAAAAATGTAACCTTTGGAAACCAATGCATGCAGTCCGTTTTTCTAGTGATGTGATTAGCCTCTAAATCTCTCCACACTGCACCGTAGACTCACACTGCACCATAGACGCAACACTGTACCATAGACGCAACACTGCATCCTAGACTCACATTGCACCATACTCAACACTGCCTGTACACTCAGCACTACACTATACACTACACTAACGTTTACTTGACGAACCTTCCTGGCCGTGTCAGGTGGTGGAGGGTTACGACACATACTTGCAGCGATCTAATCCAAAAAAATATTTAAAAATGGTGTTGTTGCTGTTGTTTCAGAGAAGCCCACTTTAACAATGTGATCGATGTGCAATAACTTGTTTTCTTATCATACGTTTACATATAGCACATTTACCAAGGTGCTGTATGGTGAATTAACTATGGTACATACTTGTCGATCCCTTATCACTGCCTACCTTTATTACATGCCAGTTCCGGGCGTATTGGTCACCCCGTACCCCTTAAATCTCAACGTTCATCATACAAAGTCCCACCACAAGGGAAAAATGCAACCAAATAGACAATCGCCACCTAGTACACTCATCACTAGTACACTTGTAGTGATGAAACTCAGAGACACTAGGAGTAGGAGGCACTATTAACCTTCACAAGTTACAAGGGATAACTACAACTCTCAGTCAGGACGACTGGCAGACTGCCTGACTGACGATGCCGAGAAGGTGAAGACGGTGACGAAGACTCCAGTAGCCTGATGGGATCCACTCCAAGCAACAGCCTTCGCTCGGGGTCCCCTTTTATCCTCCTAGCGGGGCTGTGCTCCGCCCTGGCCACGCCCCCCTTCTAGAACCTACTTCCGGGTTCCCAGCTTACCTCACGTGCCCCCTCCTATCACCTTTTTCCTACATCCCTCTCTCTGGCTTATCACGTGACCTGCTGACAGACAGGGCTGCTGCAACTGCAGGATCCCCTTCTCTGCCTGCAACCCGTGCTATGCTACGTAGTGACCCATTCCACGTCACTCCCCACTCACCACTACACTCGCCACTACATTCCTTGTCAACCCCTTATCAGTGCCTACCTTATCACAGACCTTATTGGTCACCGTGCCCCTTGTATATCTCAACGTTGATCCTACAAAGTCCTATCATAAGCGATAAACAGACACAAATAGACAAAACATTGTTTTGCCCATATTGAAACGGCTGTAACGCCGTATGGCCCTGAACTAAATTTCCCCTATACAAGAATACGAGTAAATTGTATAGGTTGACCAGTATGGACCCAGCTTGACTGCTGTGCCAGGCTAGGTGCACCAGGAGGAGGTCACGTGACAAACCCACATACCTGTCAACCCCTTATCAGTGCCTACCCTATTACAGACCAATTCAGACCCTATTGGGAAACCCCGTGCCCTTATAAATCGCATCGTTCATTTTACAAAGTCCCATCAAAAGGGCGAAACAAACAGACGAGATTGTTTTGCCCGTATTGAAACGGTTGTACACCGTATGGACCTGAACTCAATTTCCCCTGTATAAAAATATGGGGTAAACCATATGGGTTTACAGCTACGATGGCACATGGTGGTTGGCGAGATGAAACGAGGTGAGTAAGATGGGATAAATGCGCATAAAATGAGGTGGCGGCGATGCGTGGAGGAAACGAACATGTACAATGAGACGAGTGGATTGATGGTGGGTGACCATTGGAGAGGAGTTGGGGGTGGCATTGGTTTGAGTGGGGAGGACAGCAGTGGGGTTGGAGGGAAGGGTGCGCAAGAGGAAATGCGAGTGCGTTTGTGGTGCCGCCACAGCGGAGCCGCTCTGTCGGGGCCGTACCCACCGCCGTGACGCTGCCACCGGGGAGTGAAGACGCCGACGCTGCACGCCCCTCGCTGCCCCCACATGAATGCACGCATACCTCACGTAGAGCCGGGGGGGAAGGTCACCTGGCCGACGGGTTTTCGTCCAGAAGCCCCTACTAGGTTCAAGCTTCATGGTTTCCTACGGCCGGGGAATTGGGCAACCTACCCCCAAGGCTGACGGGCACTGCGGCACCGTGACCTTGGATTGTAATGGCATGGTCACGGCAGGGGCTGTTGAGCCACCGCGGATGGAAGCACGCACACACAACACGAGTCAGTGGGTTGATAGCGGGAAGAACAGAAAGCGGACGTCGAGGGGACCACTGCGGTGACGTCACCAGAGCTAGGATCCGAATATCAAAAGAGCGGGAAAATCCCGGTAGCGGGAGGAGCAGGAAGCGGACGTCGAGGGGACCACTGCGGTGACGTCACCAGAGCTGGGATCCGACTATCAAAAGAGCGGGAAAATCCCGGTTTTTGATTGGACGGGAGGCCAAGGGGGCGAAACAGCGGAACTCCTTTGTTGTAGGTAGGATAAAAGGAGGGGGATTCAGGCAGTAAAGAGGAAGTCCTTCAAGGCATCGAGGTCAGCGGGGTGTTGGAGCCAGCCGTTCGAGTCGTCCGTGTGACGAGGTTCAACGCAGCCGGGCCCAATCATCCACGGGGATGATGTACAGCATCGCCCTTCCACAGCTCCCGGAGCATCAGATTGGGAGTAAGCGTAAGTAAGGGAGAGGTGAGTTTGGGGCTGATTAATCAGAGAGTAGAAAGTGGAGCAACAGGCAGGATAAATTGAGTCCAGGTTCCCCGAGGGATAGGCTAGTGTCTGCTGACCCACACAAATACACATAGTTTAGCGGGTCATTCGCGGGGAATAAAATCACCAGTAGAGGATAAATTGTGTCGGGTGCTCTTTGTAAGTGTGAAGAGGAGGGTGAAGCGCCTGGCGTTCGCGTACACACGTGGCTGTTTAAACGGCCTTTAAATCGGGGTGGAGTGACTCCCTCCAATCAGCGGCGCGCGCACGGTGGACACCCCTGCCCTCTAACCCCTAACCCCAAGTACCCTCGCGTGTGATTGGTGTACGGAGCCGGGCAGGTAGCGGAGTCGGGTTTGTTAGTGCCTGGGCACGTAGGGCGTGTGTGTGAACGGATCCCGGGAGGCTAAGCGCCGGCCGCGGAGTCACGCGTCGGCGCGCTGTACCCTTTTGTTTACGCACGAGACGGGGTTTTACTTCGCGAGCATCCTCACAGCAGCGCGTCCGCCACTGAGCCCGCGTAGCGCGTCGTAAGCGTAAAGCGGTCGGCCCCACCAATTGAATCATGCCTACGCGGGCAGCAACAAAGTCGGGGGTACAGGGGGGCGAGGAATTGGGGGTCGGTAGCCCGAACCCGACAGAGCAGTCGGGGGGTAGTAGCGCGATCGTAACGGAGGAGTCGGGGGACAGCGGCCCCGACAATTCGGTGGAGGCGGGGGAACAGCAGCCCCCACATATTCTAAGAGAAGGGCAAAAGGTAGTGAGCGAAGGCGATTGCTTGACGTGCCCAGGGCAGTGTGCTCCAGCGAAGAGGAGACAAGGAGAGCAAATGAACGAAGCCTGGAGGAGGAACAGGAGGCATTTTGCCCACTGTGCTTAAGAGGAATGAGTGTTGGGCACATGATAGGAAATCCAGCTGCGTTTGTCTCGACTCTATGTAGGGCGGCTCGTCTCATTTACATTTTTGAAAAACGTGTTACAGGTGTATTTGCAATGTTAACGCTCGCTGTTGCCCGGCGTGATAAAATTTAACTTGACTTTCTCAGCTCGGGTTGCACGCGGTTTGAACGTTTAGCTCTCCTCTCGACTCTCTTTGTCTCTCTCTAAGTCTCTCTGTCTCTCTCTATGTCTGTCTCTTTCTCTTTTTTTACGATCAGAGGAAACAAGATGATGCTCTGTTTAGTCGTCACTTTGCTTCCTTCATCATTTCGGTTTTTTTTCCATTGCTTTGCTTTATGTGATCCCCCCCCATTTTTTTAAATAAAATATATCTTACGTGTTTTACCATTGTGCAACAAAATCAATCTTTCTTCGTAGACACAAAGATCAACACAAAGAAGCACGCTCTGCTCCTCCTCCTTACCCCTTCCCTATCTCTCTACCCCCACTCTCTATCTCCTCTCTCTACCCCCCTCACCATACTCTCTATGTTCCCCCTGTTTTCTATGTATTTGTTTTAACTACGACAAGTGCTGCATCTGCACCCAGCACTCCTCACAGTCCTACGGCCTTCGACGGGTAGCTCATATCTGCATGCAGAGCTCTCTGTCTTCTGCCACCGAGCATACAGGCTCCTCCAGCGCCCACTGCTCCATGAAGGCCGGCACGGCGTGGATAAGCTCACTCTCTCTCACTCTCTCTCAGTCTCTGCACCTGTATCTCTCTGTCTGTCTCTCTGTCTGTTTATGTCTCTTTGCGTGACCCGTACCTGTGTCTCTAGGCAGGGCGCACACTAACACCCCCGCTAAGATTATATTGTAGTACGTTTTAGTTTACATAACATTACCTTAATAATTAAAACATAAAAATTTAATTTTACCCTTTTTGGCAATAACACAGTCGTTACGTTGTTCATACACCAACTAGATGCCTCTTCCAAGGAATCAAGTACTGTATTAACCACATGTACTTGTGGTGAACATGCAAACAAAACATACTCTGATAATGTTACAAGTGTAGTGACACAGCGCTGACTGTTGTACAGCAGCTGCAACTGCAGGTAGACACTTATCGCACACGCCGCTGAGCATATACACTGTGTGTGTGTGTTCCGGCAGGGCAGAGGAACTGGGGCAAGGGTCACGGTAGACCTCGAGGGGAATCCCCTGGAACCCTCTGGAGGGTTCGAGAAGGGAAGCGTGGCTAGGGCGGAGACAAGCCGCGCCGAGGGGAATTTAAGCAGCGGAGTGCGAGAGCTCCGGGCTGCCGGTTCTGGGATTGAACTCTTCTCGTCGTCGCTGTCGTCGTCGCCGCTGCCACCTTTGCCCAATCATTGCGCGGCCAGACAGAAGTTGGCTGTCCCGGTCGACGCCATCGGTGCAACGCGGACAGGGTCGTGTCTGGGACGGGTCGTGCGGCAGCGTGGTCACGAGAGAGAGGGAGCCCCGAGTG